ATAGCGATATGGTCTATGGATCATGATTCGCACAAATAGCTGTACATCGATTACGATGGACGTAGTCTAAGAAAAAAGATCTAAAACTTTTACAACTATCTATTTCCTAAAACATAACCAGTACGTTTCTTTCCCAGATATTTATGTAATATTCCTATAAAACCTTACCATCTTTAGTTTCCAACATCAAAATCAAACTTATCAAGTTAAAAAGATTTTTTATTCTAATTTATTCTATAATATTTTGTCATTCTTAATTAATTTTCTAAAATATACATTTTTGAGATAATTTAATTTGCAAATATTAAATTGAAAAATAAATTGTATTTTTCAATCGTGTCATTTAATTTATACGACAAAAGATTAATATTTTTCTTGCACACGATAAAATCATTCATCTGATTTGCTATTTTACTATGTTTGAGAGCAATGTTAAATTTATGTAATTATATTAATGTAATTATATCATTGGAAAATATTGGATCAAGTAACTTTCTAAATTATTTCAATAAATATATTCAAGTAATATATCATAACTATTTTATAATTTCAAATATTTTGAATTATTTGAGCAATTCTCAACTATTGTTTTTTATCTCTATTCAATGTTTAGCCACAGCGTACTGAACATAAACGTCCTTGACGGTCGCCGTGGCGACTGCGCAACACGACAGCGCAGCGTTGCGCGCCGTTGCGCTTGCGCGAGCTCGATGCACTCGCTCCCCACTTTGCCTATTTGTGTGACAACCGGCCCTCCACTATGCGGCCCACCTTTACCATCACGAGCAACCCCACTTCTCTATTGCTATATATTGGCGGTTGCGCATATTACGTCATCAACACCTTCACTCGCCCCTGTTGGCCGAGCACGATGCTCTGCCATTCGTTGCTCTTTCATTGTGTTGGCACGTTGCTTATACGTCCTCTCGCAACATATTGTTGCTGTTTCAAGCGAAAATCTTTTTCTGAAGTTTTATTTTATATTTCGATTAAAATTTTTATTTTGCTATTTTTGTTATTACGTTTTTTTTCTCATTTAATCTGGAAAATTAAAGTTAATAATCATTGATGTACATTGATTTTGAAATGAGTTAATTATTATTTATAATTGAATTATTGAATGAAGAATTAATATTTATGAAGAATTAATAAAGAATTATTATTTATAATTGAGAATTTAGGCATAAGATAAAACATGAATATGTTAATCAATTAATTATTAATTAGTTATTTGAGATTTTACGATAATTCTATTATTTTTGTTATTCCATTCTCAGTAGAATCATATATATATATATATATGATATTATTTCAAATTATTAATTTTTAATTACATTATCTCATAAAAATATATAGAAAAATTATATATAAATTATATTATATTGAGGTAATATAAAACTTCGTTTATTTAAAAAATGAAAAAAATTTCCAACAAAAAAAATGAATTTCGAGTTATAAACAAATATAAATAACTATAAACAAATATAAATAATTGCATGCATCAAACATAAATATCCACAATTCATCAAGTTATAAATCTTTATAACTTCTTTTTTTTCTTTATTATTGAAAAGACACATGAATATAATATAATTCGATACGAATAACTTGTTCACTGCTGGAATTACAATTAGTTTCATTAAAAATTTACATGAACATTCCAATGAATGATATATAAATGTATTTGCATTCGTTAAGCTTTGAAAAGCATTAGGAAGATATCTATTATTAATCTTGATATTATTCGATCTATCGATTAAAAATTCAAATAAAATCTGAGAAGTAACTAAGTTCTTAAAATTGAACCACGTATATTGTTTTAATTAAAATTTTTATCCTAAACAGAAATTTGAATACAATTTAAGAAACGAATAACAATTATCAACTTAAAAATGAAAAAGTACATTCGTTATTTTAATAGATTTATAATTGCAATAAATTATTAAGAAAATAATATTTAAGAAAATAATACATAAAATGCATAAAATAAAATTATTTAATTAATTTTTTGCAAAATTTTTTGAAAATTGCTTCTATAGATTATTTATAATATTTATTTTATAACATGCCTGCTTTTTATTAACTTACGACAGAAATAATTGAATTTAAATAATTTATTAATTTCCTTTAGATGATAAATTTATGGTAAAAAAACACAAAATAATTACAATTTAAATCAGATGATTATTTTCAAAAATTATATATTAAGTTTTCTATCTTGATAACAAAATATTTAAATTATTTTATATATATATTAAAATATTTAAATATTTCTAAACGAATTTTATCTATTGCCATATTTACAATTTTTAATTAATGATTCAAAATCTAATTTCAATGTTTAAAAAATTTGACTTTTTAATTTTTTAGCTAAAGTTAGTAAATATAAATACAAAAATATTTTTCATCTGATATAATGTTAAAATTGATAAAATTAAATAATTCAATTGTATAATTACAAAAGAAATTATAAGACAAAAGAATAAAGATTATAATAAATATAGTTTGAATTAATCATGAAATTAATAATAATAACAAACTAATGAAAATATTAGAAAAAAAATTATTTTTTCTTTTTTTTTTATTTTTATTTTTCTCTTATTTGGTTGCAAAAGTTGAGGTATTCAAAACACGCGAATTCTTATGCGAACATCGATGAATGACATGTAGCGCATCCGAGAATAGATAAACCGCAACTTCCATTTAAAAGCACTGTAGACTAATACTATGACGTGAAAGTAACGATCTAAAGCAAAGTCAATAACCTGTGATAACTGTTTGACCTAAAAGTGCCTTTGGAACTTCGTCAATTCACTTTTTTTTTTTTCCTTTATATTATCATCAAAAACTCAAATATACAGAAATTAGCGAGTATCTTCTATATTAATTTTATGGATCTCAATTGAGAATTACTGATTCTTTGTCTTTACGCAATAATAGCTTATTAATGTCATTAATAATAATATTTATTAATAAGTATTATTACAATTAATAAATTAATGTATAAGTAAGCCAAAGGAATGTCTTTTTCATGAAAATTTTTATTCAAATTTTTGTTCAATATTTTTATGTATAATAATATTCATTAATAATAAAAATAAACAGTAATTACTTGATTTGATCTTCTCTTCTATTATAAAAAATATATTTATAAAATTATAATTTTTTTGAGTACACAAAATTTTTTAAGTACAAAACCCGATGTCTATAAAAATTGTATAAACTTCTGTAAATTTGTGTAAAACTATTACTAACTGAAATTATAAACCTCACTATTCGATTCCGATTGCGAGGCACGTCGATTTCACCTAATTCCCGTGCCAACTAATTAAACGCAATGGTGAATACTCTCACGTTATTATTATTTTTTTTCATTTTCCCTTCTCTCTATATTTCATACCACTGTGATAGTGAAATTGCAAGGAACACGCGTAGGTTTAAATTCTGATAAACGGTTTCTGATATCGTATATCATGCATAGATATTACGAAAATATATTATGCATGCATTGCGCGAAAAATATATGTACATATAGCATTACGAGGGAATTAGAACGTTCGCTGATCCTGTTGCCGCCAATCTAATTCGTGCGTATGCAATATTATTGCAAAAGTATATTATGTTATATTGTATATGTAACAGTATATAGAAGAGAATGTCGAATGTTGTCTCTTCTTCCATGTTGTATCTTAATTGTATTAATTATCGTCTTCCTTTTCCGGTATCGCCTTGTTGGATTTCTTTCTATATGAACGATATTAACAATAACGGAAGCGATAGAAACAGCAGCTGGTAGAAAATTCCTAACCAGGTAGGAATCGAGGGGAAAAGTAGGGCAACAACTCTTCAAAAGTTTCATCGTCGATGTGGAAATATTCAACTGTAGTAGGACGATCCCGTGCTCTACTGTGTGTTGGTATATAGGCGTCTATAAAGCACGGTAAGCTGATTCTAGAAGTCGTTGGAAATGTTCAATGTATGTATGCGTGCGTGAATATATAGACGAGCACCGGAAACTGATCGTCGGTGGATAGAAAATATCGCAAGAATTTTTTGCGAACAAAAAATAATATCGAGCAGATGTATTTATTCTATTTTATCGCTGAAAATCGTTGGCGTTATTATGCAATTATGGTGACAATCACAACTAGATAAGAATTGTGCAATTTATAATATATAAGTATGTCCGTTCATGTTTGAAGCGTGCGACGCTCTCTTCAACGTAATATATTTATAGAATCGAAATCTCTTGTGTAATGTATAAAACGTATCATTTTGTTTATTCTTTGGATATACTAAATGAATAATATAAATTATTTAGAATTTTTATATTTTTATCTATTTTTTTAAAACAAATATTTGATAATTATAATATATTAATAATAAATCTTTTATTTTGATTAATTTTTTGAATTTAATGAAAAATATAAAAATGTGATCCAAATAATGAAAAATTCTAATAGAATATTAATAAATATTAATTTCAATTCAATATATTATGTTGTAAAATAATTTATAGGCACAGAAATCAAAAATTGAAAGAAAATTGAAGTCTAAATAATGAATTATATTTACAATATGTGATATTTGAAAAAATAAATCTGGTACGAAGAAAAGATATATATATATATCATCAAATATATTTTTTATATATATATAAAAATTTGTGTACTTTCATGAGCTTAAAAATATAGTGACATGTCTTATGTAAACTGTCATTTCGCCGGCCGGCATTCTTTAGGCTTTTTATTATGCACGTAACGCGTGTGCATACGTCAAAATCCGAGTTGAATCGTTACTCAAGAGTGTGTGGAAGCGCTGTTTCGAAGGGAAGAGCAGTATGGACGTTTACGAACAATACAAGATAGAGCGCGGTTAGATGTGGAGGGGATAGGTATCTATAGTTAGAGAGTAGATGAGAAGAGTGGGGGAAAGTAGAGTGCGTGCGCGCTCGAGTTGAACGCGGTTGTCAGTGTCAATTGGTTCGCCGCGGCGACTTAAGGTGTCGTCGACGTGTAACCCGACGTTATACTCGAAAGTTTTTCCTCGCGTTCCGTCATAGTTGGAAACAATACGTTTGTCATTCGTATCATCCCACGTTTATTCTTGTGTGTTTACCATTTCTGCTGCAAAAGCAAACGACAAAACGTTATTATAACGGTGGTTCGGAAGATCGGAATCGATCAGAAACAGGAACTTCGATTTTAACTCGTTCTCAATTTTTTGTTCGTCTGTCTGCCCGTCAACGACGACGGGCAGCCACGTTTCATCGATCGAGCAAACAAGTTCTTTTTTTTTGGTGATCCCGCTGAAATATCGTAAAAGCAGCGCGTCTATTGGTGACGATCCACACAGTGTGTACGATCGGTCGAACGTGAGACTAATCACGAGAAACTTCATAAGCTCACTTTTTGTCGTTTCTGTTCTGTACGTTGGTACGTTATTGTCGATTAAAAACGTCACGTGTGGTGCCGGACAACGAGAATATATGCGAGAGTACTCAGAAACGCATCGTATCCCTGCACGCTAAGTGGACGGGAGAACGCTCAGATCGGATACATGTTAGCGTGCTTTGATATCGGTGAACATCAGTGAGACGTGCTGTGTCACTGCGCCCCGACGACACACGAAGAGGCTCTTACAAGATGTAAGTACTGTTCTAATATAGAATATATAATATAGCTTGTTCGTAGCTCCATATGGTAGCATACGAAAACAATTTATTCCATTCGAACGTATCGATCATGAAGCCTGGTGATCCAATTCAAATACGACATTCAGGTTACCGTCATCAACCTAACCTGATTCGAGAGCGGAAAATAACGAGAATTTGTAAATAGTATCTGATTCTTAAGTGTCGCGCGATCGACGATTCTAGAAAATTGCGCTGTTGGCGGTATTTCGATGGCGTGTAGTCGTCGTGTTGATGTCGAGTTCATGGAATTTTGAACGAGTCCCGCTCTTTGCCTGCTTTTTTTTTTTTGCCTCGACGGTTGACGTATCACATGTCTACTTTACCGACTGTGTTTTGAAAACAGTCGTACATGTCCATGAACGCGGATATACGAACAGCCGCGCTCTTTCCAGCATACATTGCACGCGCAGGCGCGTGACCTTTCCTAAGTCCTTTTCTTCCTTTCGCTACGACCGTAGATAGATTTTTTTTCTTACCGCTCGTCATTCCATAGAACGAAACAAGGAGTGTCGAACACTGACTTCTACTGGGGTCAAACGATATACTCGACTTTTCATCGCTTCATGTCAATATTTATGTCAGAAATTATACTTGTTTTCATTATACATATTATGAAACTTGTTCTCGTCACTGATTGTATATAAGTAATTCCTATTACATTATTAATTACTTTTATGACAAATCTTTTAACAAAATCTCTTACCGTAAATTTTAAAAATGATAATTTTCATTAATATAAAAATAAAAAATGAATACTATTATAAATCGATAGAATTCAATTTCACTTAAACTTTATTTAAGTTAAATTTCACTTAATTTTTATGTTATAATAGATTATTGATTATTAATTAATAAATTATTTTTTTCTTCAATCGAAATTATTATTCATGATTATATGTGTTTGTATTTGTATAATTTGTATTCAAGCAATTTTCAAATTAACCAAGGTCAAGGATTGCTCGATCTTCTTGTAAGTGAAAAGTACCAGTGTGTGGGTATAATTCGCGATGACTAGTCCAAATGCAATTACACATGGAATAGTATAAGAGGCGTGTCGAATAAAATCTTTCGTGATAATAGGATCGATTATCTTGCATATTAAATCTTACTGCATCCTGTTTATCATATGTTTCGCCATATTGTAAGCATGTATGCATATATATAATTTTTAATTTTGTATACAAAACATCCTATATAAATGAATTAAATCTTAAATTTAAAATTATAAAGAATAAACAAAATGATGTATTCAGATACATAGTTTACGTAATGAGAAGATGTTTTGAAAAATTTGAAGGTGACTTTTTTTTTACTAGAGAAAATTATATGTATAAAAATAGCTATATAATTCTTATAATTTTTTACAATTTTAAAATATAATAAACTTTACAAAATTAGAATTAAATTCTTTTTCGAGCTGATTTTTTTTGGATATTATAATATTTTTATAGATTATAAAAAGTAAATACGAATTGTCGCGTAAGAATTTATAATTGAATAAAAATACAAAAAACAAAAGTGAATTTTTTGAATTATTTTCCACTTTTGAAATATTATTTTTGTATCAATTGCATAATAAAATTTTCTTTCTGTTTTTTATTATTTTAAAAATATAATTTTACATATTTTTACTTTTTTCGTTATATGCAATCTTTTATAATTATAATTAATATATGTTATCTTAAATAATTATTAATTAGTTGCATAATTTATCATTATTCGACAATTGAATAACAGATAAAAACATTTAATTGATTGCTTTTAAGCATGATATAGTAATAATAAAAAGCAATATTGAAATATTTAAAAACGAACAAAAAGCAATTGAATGATTGAAGTAGTTAAAAATATAAAATTCAATTACAGATCGAGATTCAAAATTTTTACTTTCTAGTTTTCTAATTTTATATAAGTCATTATTTCAATTTTGATGATCTTGGCTTTAAATATCTATCAATTTAATTTATGTAATTGTGATTATATTATGTATGAGACTAATATCGATTAATTAATTACCATCGTTTCTAATCGTAATTTCAATTCTAACAATAAAATCGTCAACGTCATTAATGATTAAACAAATTAAATATATATGATTGATTTATTTAAATAAAAAATTATGAATTATATCGTATAGTTTATATTAAAACGAATTTGTTTAAAATTTGTTTAAAAGAATGAAATATTTAGATAAAATAATTAAATAAGAGAAAAAAATTCAATTAATTATCTTAAAAATTATCTTAAAAATTATTAACGATATTTCAATTTTTTGAAAAAGAATTTATATAAAGTATAAATAAATATAAATATAATTTTATATAAAAATAAAATATATATATAAATTCTTTTTTAGTAAACTTTTTAATTTTTTAATGCTAAAAGTTTAAAATAAAAATATAATCATAATATACAAACAAAATAATAATATATAATAATAATATGTAATATTAATATAATATATAATGTGTAATATATATGTACAATAATATAATTAGAAACAAAAATATAAATATTATATAATATAATATAATATAAATTATCTATATCTATATCTATATATTATATATGTATATATATTTTTAATGAATCGATAATCTAAAATGCAAAAGAAATAATCAATGTATATTTTCGATTGATAAATTTGCATATTAATATAATTTAAAATAGCATCATACTAGTCATCCTCTTCGTTCATCTGCAAAATAAATTTACAAGAAAGGCGTAGGAATTCGCATTACGTTGGCATCTTTAAAATAATTGTCGATTTTAAAATTCATTGAAATAAATTATTAAATCATTATTTTAGATCCGTTTTAAAATAACTTGTAATAAAATGAAAAAACTCCATTAAATAGATTTTAAAGATTTTAAGTATTTCACATTATAAAAAATAAAAATTTTCAAAAATAAATGAAAGTAATTTCAATTGATTTAATACGCAACTTTTTCTTTAGATTTACTAGATTTTCAAAAAAAAAAAATTAATATTAAAAATTCATATCATATAAAACATGATATATGTTATTATTATATTATTTTATTTTTATTTAAAATAAATTTCAAGAAATTTTTTAATAATAATATATATTTATATAATATATATTGTGTATAATATATATTGCAATGAACTAAATTATCATCAAAGCTTATTTTATTGGTTTATTGATTAATCAGATAAAGAAATTAATAATATTAATTTTTGGTTATCTAATCGATGAAGAATTTTTTATATGATTTTCATCTTTTCCTGCAAGTTTCACGAACCGTGCAATGAGTTCTATATTCAATCTAACGTGAAAGTATATACGTACGTCCTTGGCGTAATAAACGCTACTTTCAGCTGGAACAAAGAGTGCCACGCAATAAAACGTCGAGTGGTACTCGCTCCGCACTCACTTCCCCGTTTATCCCCACTATTCATTTTATTAACTTTAAAGTGACGAATTTGTGCAAGCTGAATAGTGATTCATACGAATCTATTTTTAATAGGGAATCTAATCTTAGAGAAAATAGAACATCTTATTCTATAATAATGTTTCCTGAAAGACTTTTAATTTTATAAAGAATAAGAAATATGTTTATTAAATTTTTATGAAAAATTATGAAAAAGATTAAGAATTTTTAACTTTTCTATTTATTAAAATATATTATGTTGATTAGGAAGTTATATTACTGGATTTTATTTAGATTTATATATTTAAAGATTTACTTAAGGCTTCTCTTATATCGTAGATAATTTTAATGTATTATATTTGTATAATGTAATATATTTTTAATTATTGAAATATAAACTGCGTAAATTTTGTGATAATTTATAAATATGTTATAAATATAATTTATAAATATGTTATAAATATGTTAAAAAAAATACTATTTTAGATATTATTCGTAATTCTTTTTAAATAATATAGTGAATTATGAATTTTTTATCCGATAAAAAATTTAAAATAAAAAGATTATTCGATACAGAGAATATCGAAAGAATAATTTTAATAATAGGAATTACAAATTCCAAAACAATGAAATAAATTCATTATTACGTATACATAATTATATAATATAACTTTAAAAAAGATATATTATAAAATAATTGATAGAAATTACAATAAAAATAATTTTTTTTTTTTAAGGAAAGAAATGACAGATTTTTTTTATCAATTTAATAGTATATTTATTTTAATCTTATATATACATAATATATTTATTAATATATTTTAATAATAAAATTTTTAATGATAAAAATTTTAATAATTTTATAATAGATGTATAATAATAGCATTCTTTCCATTACTCTATCACAATTTTATTCTAATATATATATAATTTTTAAATTTAATTTACAAAACTTCTATTGTTATATATATGAAACCTATTATCAAATATTATTTCAATTATAAATTACAATATACATTTCATTGTTAGTCATAAGAATAATTGCAATGTATATACATATTCTGAATTAAATTATCAGAATGTAAACTTTGCTTATTTAAGCGAAAAATATCTATTATATATGTATAGATATTAATTGGTAACAAAAATGCATATTTTTTTCGATTATTTGTATTGTTACTTATATGTATTTTCATTTGAACATCTGAATATCATTAATTTGCAACAAAAACAACGTTAATTTGTAATTAAAAATTATTATGCATTGTTAAACTATAATTAATAATGAGTGGTTTATGAAACTTTTTAGAATACATATAAGCACACAAATAATATAAGTTGTTTCTTATTTAAAATATATTTGTGCGAAAAATATAATTTTAATATTTTGATATTATGGAAAGAATTAATCTTTTTCCTATTGCGCTATTTTAGATTCATCGATTGCATTTGCAAATTGCAGTACAATTTTTCCTATATTTTGCGAAATGATTTTTGAAAAATTATTTTATTTGCGATTATTTTTATTTATGATTATTTATATAAAAAATTTTATC